TTTTTAAATGTTACAAGTGTTTTTATTATTTAAAATTATTTGTTGAACATAATCTGAGCATGGCATTTTTATGCTTTAAATTTTAATCATTACCCCAAATTATTATTCTTAAATTTTTAGTATAAAAATATTTTTGAGTTATACATACATTAAAGTGCACAAGCTTGATGAATGTTTACCTAAATATATATGTCTCTGTAACTACCACTCTGACAAGATACAAAACAGCTCAGCCCCTCAGAAAACTCTCTCATGCATGTACCAAGTCTATACCCACCCCCTAGTGTAGCCACTGAGTTCTGTGACAATATATTTGTCTGTTCTGTAATTTCATGTAAATATGATCACACAGAAAGTAGATTTTTGTATCTAGCTTCTTCATTATGCTTGTGTTAAATGTTGTTGTGTGCAATGGTAATTTGCTCTGTTTTATTCCTGTGTCGATTCATTATATGACTGTGTAGCTATTTATTTATTCATTCTTGTTAATAGAAATTTGGATTGTTTCTGGTTTCTGAATATTATGAATGAAATGGCTATGAACATTTTTGTGCATGCCTTTTGGCAGATATATGCATTCTGTTAAATTGAGTATTCCCTAAAATATAATGTTTAAAAATAACTTTGTTATCTGTTTCCATGGATAATGCCAATAAAATTATCTTCTGCTATAATCTATTTTAGATTATAATGACAAACCAAAATTTTAAGTGTGTGTGTGTGTGTGTGTGTGTGTGTGTGTGTGTGTGTGTGTGTGAAATAGTCTTTAAATATATTGTTAGCAAAAGGTGAACATTCTTTTTTTACCTGGATATTACCATTCGTAAGTTTATTTGGGAGTTTTCACTAGTAACTGGCTATCTAAGGAGATTAACACATGATATAGCTGAACTTTGAACTGTGTGAACCCGTGGTAGTGTTTCAGCCCTGGAAATGTTCTGTGCTAATATTAGAATCCAGAGAAGCTGTAATTTTTTTTTACAGCCTTTCAGTGACATTTGTTTGGAAGCATATTGCCGCTGTAATTTTTTTTAATTCTTTTTTTTTTCTCTGTTTTTTTTCTACAGTCCTCTTTTATCCAAACATAAGGTAAGAGATCGTTTCTTTGAAAGCATTTACAGGAAAAATTTTAAGAGTCATATGTCTATAGCATGGACTCTTTTTGAAAATAAAGAAACCTTTCTCAAATTTATTTTCAGCTTCCTAATTTAATGCGATAGTTTCCCCAAACGTGTTTTTTTGTTTTTGTTTTTGTTTTAACTTTTTAGATAGCAGCCGTAGAAAAGTCCCTGGGAAGGAAATGCTTTACGCAGTTAACAGCGTCTGAAGATTCAAAGGAAAGTGGAGCTCCACCCACAAAGCCGGGTACGTTCTGATGTTAGAGAGGCATGTAAGAGGCACCTGCCTCTTTTCATATTCTGGAAGTGTTACGTCTCAATTGCTGTGAAGGAATTTTTTTGTTTTTATATTTTTTTTGCATATACCTTTCCTAGACAAATAGCAAAGTGAGATTTTTTTTTATATTGCATAACTATTTTTAGATATCTATTAGTAGAAATTATAAAATCTCAATTCTCATAAAAACATAAAATTATTCCCCATGTTGGTCATATGTATCTAACACAATATCATAATACTGTATAAAAATGCTCTGAAATAAAATTTGTATGGACTTCACCAGAAATTTGTTCTGTATATCTAGATATTTAAAAGCTCTATATGTTGATAATTTATGTATAGCAATTTATTCTCTTCCCTTTTTTGTTGATTAACATATGGTGTACTTTAATTTGCATATATACATTTCTAAAGCATTTATGATGTATTTACACCATTTTGTATCTTAGATCAAGAGTTAAAGATTTTTAGAACCTTTTTTTACATGAGTAATGTATGTTCGTTATAAAAGTTTTAGAAAATAAAGATAAATAAATACATTTTAAGATGTTTATTTTTCCTGACCTATGGTTTTAGTACTAATTTATATTCCTGGGCTTTATGTTCCTGATATTAAACAGGCAGCATCCCATGTTTTGACGGAGTCACCTGAGAAATAAGATGATGATGATGATAATGATGCCCACAATTTAATTTTCCTTTTTCTCTTTATAAAGCCTTTTTTTACCCCTAAATCTTACTTTATCCCCTTTGTTCTTATGAGACAAATTTAGGATATTGCCTTAGGTCAATCCTACTCTATTCTGTTCTTCTCATCTTTCCTTTTGCAGTCATTTTTATGTTGGAAATCAGAGTAAAATAGGCTTCATAAAAATCTTAAAGAGAGAAAAAGTCACAAAGTGGCCCCCCAGTTTGGGCATAGATGTGTCTCCGTGTTGCGCACACTGGGGAGAGTGCTATTATGGGCTGTTGATTAAACTGGACACTCAGAACTGGTTGCTGCCCAGCACTACTTGGCACTGTTTATAGCTTGCCTCTGCCGTGAGAAATGTGGTAAGGGTGGGGACACCTCATTTGAGTCACTTGCTCGATCCTTTGATTCTCAACTAGAACCTGCATGTTCTTGTTTCTAATCAAATGCCACATCATTTAAGTAAGTTGTATGGATTATTACAGACTTCCCCAATACAGCATCTCACTAATAACCATCTTACGGGGAGTGCATGGACTAAATCCACGGGCTAGGGGTGGGGGAATCCGATAAAACAGTGTCTTTGAAAGAAAAAGTTTAAATCTTTCAGAATTAGTCTCATCAGATTGGTTATTCTGTGAATAAATACATAGAAGGACAAGAATATGAGAAAAAGAAATATGAACACATTTAAATGATTTGTATTTAATACATTGTTCTTGTTTTACCTCGTATTCCTCATTTTTAATAACGTATGGCATGTAGTACAATCTAGACTTTCCTTTCCCTTCCTTTCTCTCTACGTTCCTTAATCCTCACTAAGCTCCTTATATAATATGAAACTTGCTTTTGTGTGTGTGGTAGTTAAAGTCATTGTTTCTGGAGCAAACTTACCTGGTTTAAACTCTGTCTCCATCACTTAAAGTTGTGTGACCTTAGGCAAGTTACCTAACTTCTCTGAGCCTCCCTTCCCACAGCTCCAAAATTAATATAGTACTTACTTGTGATTATTGTGAGGATTAAATTAGTAATTTCATGTTAAAAGCTTAGAACAACACCTGGCCCAAGGTAAGAGCTCAGTGTATGCTCACTGCGCTCATTGCTTCTTTTCCTCCTCCCTATCATCACTGCTCACCCGCACTAGCGTGTTATCAATGTTTTCCACATATTATTCATTACCATTTTTCTGATGAAGTTCCCATCATTAAAGTCTTCAAGTAATTTACATAGTATATTATATTTTCAAAGTGCTTTTATGTATATGATTTCATCTGTTCCTCTTAACAACCAATATAATGTAGGCTAAATCATTTGAAGAAACTCAAGGAAGTTAAGTGACTGATCCAGGAACAGAACTAATTAGAACTCAAAGGCAAATCCTAGTTTTCTGACCCTGAAGTTCATGTATTTTTATTAATTTATACCTACATTTATTTTTAAGTAATATTTCATATGTAAAAATAATGTTCCATCCATACATTATAAAAAATCATAACAAAATGAAGACCTATGACCCTAGTACTCAACTAAGGGCTAATTTATTGTCAATTCTGTTCCAACTACCTTGGCGTCCCCTGCTTTCCCACACCCTTGAGGTAACTGTTATCCTGAGTTTTATGTTTATCATTCTCTTCCCATTTTTTTATCAACTTTATTAACGTACAATTTCCATGCAATAAAATGTGCCCATTTTAAGTGCCTAATTTGATGAGTTTTGGCAAATGTATACACTGAAGTAACTACTATCCTAATCAAGATAGAGAACATTCATCACTCTAAAATCTTCCTCCCAAATACCCTTTATAGCCAGTCCTTCCCACCTCCAGCCCTAGGCCAGCCAGGGCTTTTCTGTCTTAGATGAGTTTTCCATATTTTAGAATTTAAAATAAATAGGATTGCTCAGCATATATTTGTAAGAGTCACCCATTTGCTCTGTGCATCATTAGTTCATTTCTTTTCATTGCTGAGTTGTATTCCATTTTTGACTATGCCAAAGTGGTTTATCCAGTCACCTGTTGATAGACATCTGGGTTGTTTCCAGTTTGGGGATATCATGAATAAGTCTGCTAGGAACTTATTTTATGTTTTTCTTTCTCTGGGGTAAGTAATTGAGGGTGGAATTGCTGGGTCCTAGGGAAGGTACATATCTAACTTGATAAGAAAGTGCCGAACAGTTCTGTGATGTGTCTGTCCCATTTTATACCACATCAGCGATATGTGAGAATTCAGTTCTTCCACGTCCTTGCTGACAACTTAATGTTGTCAGTCTTTTTAATTTTACTCATCTGAGCGGATATGAAATGGTATATCATTGCGGTTTTAACTTGCTTTTCCCTGCTGACTGGGCGTGTGTACATTTTTAGTTTCGAATGAACATCTGTAGAAGATGTACTAATTTATACCATGATCTGCGTTTCAGACTTAGTTTTAAGTATGTTTTTTCATCCGCTAAAATAAATAAATACTATGAAAATTTCCTTTTCTGGCCTGATACCACTCAAATGTTTGTACTCAATGAGATATTCAGAAAGCATAAGAAATAAGCGTTATCTCCTGAATTCGTTAGTCCCATATCATGAATTGTGTGAGGGATTTTTTTTCCCTAAAGAGAACGTGGGGGACTAGGAAATGAAAGAATAATCAAAGGCATGTACATTTCTGTAGAGTACGTGTTAGAACTTAGGTTAAGTCTAGTTTCTCATTTTAGAACTCTTTAATTCAATGTTTATTAACTATCTGTCATACAGTCCGCTCTTCATTTTTATTTCAGCAGAGTAGGGTTGTTTTTTAAGATGTGTGAATTTAATCCAATAGAGAGTAGAAAACTTACCTCACTAGATTTTGGGGTTCAGGCGAGCCAATTCACAGAAATTTATGTTAACATTAACAGAAGCATTAATGAGAATAAGTTTTATATTATAATACATACTTGTAGAAAATTCAGAAAATATTTTTGGTTAAATATAGTAGATCTACATTTACCTGCACTTTTTCCTGATGTTTTTCATCAAAACATCAGAAAGGGATCTTAAAAGGCGGAAACCCACAGGGACAGAACTGGCAAGGAAACAGCAACAGATGTGACATCGAGAAAAATTTGGAAGCTGGAAAACAGATGGATGGGTGGCAACTGGCTTCACACACCAGAGAAAGCTGAAAGCTGAGTGTCTACAGGGAAAATGTTGTTTCTTGCCTGGAAAGTTCTGGGAATTGAAAGCACAGAGGGTGGGTACCTCTAAGGTCTAGAATGTGAGGTCGGACTGGAGAAGGAGGCTGGGCTGAAAGACCATTCAGGAAGCACTTAGACTATTATATTCCGTCTCTACCTCGCACAAGGCTGAAGGTTTATTTTTTAGAGAACGTGAGCTAGAAGAATTGTGGACTCAGGGATTAGACACAACTCAAGAAGTATTATATAGAAAATGAGGATTGAATGGATGGTGAGACCATTAGCCTACTTTCTACATTTAGCATCTAGAACTGTGACAACTAAATCTCTTCCTCCCTGGGAAACCGGCTACTAGTCTCGGACATAAAACCTCCAGATACCTCATTAAAGGCCTCCCAACGAATGACACAATGCCTCTTTGTCCCACACTAGAGAAGGCTGCCTTTAACCGTAGAGCTACTTGTTACCTCATTTAGGAAAACCTCAAATAGAAAAGATGCAGAACAAATCAGACAGACAAATGAAAAGAAATGCAAAGGAAACAAAACATAGAACAGATGAAAACTTTTTAAAAATTAACAAATTTCACAGAGATTAGAAAAAATATTGTATGTATGAAGACAAGAATAAGATGCTGATTTAAAAAAAAAAAAGGAACATTCAGAGAATTAAAGAAAAAAGTTCATAGAAATTAAAAAGTGTTATGGCCAAAATAAAAAATTAGAAGAGTTGAAAGATAAAATTGAAGTTTAAAAGCTGATCCAAAGACAAAGAGATGAACAGTATGACAGAAAAGATAGATGTTTAGTCCATGAGACCCAAAATCCTTAATACAGGCATTTTAAAGGAGAGAACAGAAAATGTCAGAGGTCAAATTATCAAAAAAGTAATACAAGAAAATTTCCCAGAATGGATGGTCCCAAGTTTCCAGATTGAAAGTCCCACCAACTACCCAACACAAAGAATGAGAACCTTTATGAAGTTTCAGGATGCCAGGTAGAAGCAAAGAATCTAAAGCTTCTTTCCAAAGGAGGATAATGTAGGTTGCAAGGGATTAGTGTTCAGAATGGTAAAGGACTCCACATCCCTTCCCAAAGCTCGACGTGGTACAGCAGTGCCTTCAAAACCGTGAGGGAAACAGTTTCTAAGAAGAAATCTGGGATTCAGAAAACAAGGTTTCTAATACAGCTAAAGGGAATTCCCAGGATTATTGGCAAGGCAAATTCTAGGACAATATGTTTTAAAACTGATAAATTAGCTGATGGTACATATGCCATAGTTATACATCTGTCAGAGTTTAGAGATACATAAGTAGAGCTTTTTTTTTTTTTTAAATAAAGTTATAAGTTAATTTTCAGCACCAAGGGAAATAACTGTAAATGAGGAAGGAAAAGGCCTCAGCATACAGTGAGGGGCCGTGCGAATAATATTTCCAAACCACAGAAGGTAAACTTTTCAATACTGAGTTGCCATAGAAGTGCGTCGAATTATATGATTGGAAGCTAGAGGAGGAGAAATATATCATTTCAGAGGGTTAGCTTATTGTGTCACACGTATTATTCACATGTCCTTTCCCTTTCCTCCTGTACAAAGTGTTGTTTTGAATCTTAAAACAACTTGTTTTTCCTTGTCTGCAGAGAGTGAAACTTGTCTTGGCACAGAACCAAGTAAAGAAAGCCTACATAGAGAAGAGACCTCAGAGAGCAGCCCCTGCTGTAACCACATGGCCAGGCCAGCAGATCCCCAGAGCCTGCTGACAACTGCAGGGAGGGACCACACGGCGGAGCCACTCTGCAGCGCTGCTGACACACGGGAGCTCCACGCCCAGCCCTCAGAGACAGCCGGGAGCAGGTCTGGGCCACACTCTGCCGAGAAAGCTTGCAAGGATGACAGCCGCCTGCAGCTGGCTCACACAGAAGTCTGCCAAGATGTGGCCGAAATAGAGGGCACTGCTGAAGACCCTAAGGGGTTCCTTTCCAGTGGGTCAATGATAGAGCCATTGATTTTACCAGGCTCTGAGCGTGTACCTCCTGCCCTGATTTCTGAGGGTGAATATTCACAGACTCAACAAAAAGAACTCCAGTTGCCACTTCAGGATGCTTCTGAGGCGTTGTCCACAGACCAACTTGAGAACAATGAATTAAATGAGCTGCTGCAACCTGATCTCACAGGCAGTGATGGAAAATCACCGCCAGGGCCGGCTGACTCAGAGGGCTCCCAGAGTGTACTTTGTGAAAATAAGAAAGTATCTGACTTAAGTACAGTGCTTTCCGAGGCGTCTATGGCCCCAGAGGAAAAGGGAAGTAAGGAGGAACAAGTCAATAAAGAAACAGAAGACTATTTGACCAGCCTTTTGGAAGGATGCTTAAAAGATACTGAAGATTCCCTTTCATACGAAGAGGAAGACTCCGATCTCCTTCAAGACCTTTCTCCTGACGAAGCATCCTACAGTCTACAGGAGAACCTGCCTTCCGATGATAGCTGTCTTTCTCTCGATGATCTTGCAAAAAGGATAGAGATTGCAGAGGTAAATCTGAGATTTGATATAAGTACAATTAAAAGTAAAATGAAAGAAGCACATATATGCCGAATATTGCCTTGTTTTCGCAAATTTCTCCTGGTCTCAAATGTGAGGGAGAAATTTAATTAATGTACACTTTTCATTTATTTTAATTGTGATTTATGCTTCAAGAAGTTATTTTGCATGCCTCCAGGTTCAGTAAGCATTATGAACACCATTTTTTATATTCCTGTGACTTTCATTTGGCAGTCCTAGGAGTTATGACCCAGACAAGATTAGTCACATTCTTATAAGGAAATCTTATTTTTCCTCTCATACATCTAGAAGACATCATATATACTCTGTTTCTTCCTCTTATTAATACATTTTTAATTTTTTAACACACTGAATGAAAGACACATTTTAAAATACAATAAGACTAGGAGATACCAGATGAGTTTTTAAGCCATTAAATTGTGTGTCGTGAATTTCCTCTTTCTTACAATATTAACTTATAAGCTCTAGGTTTCAACAAACAATACTACTTGACTAAAACAAGTATTATAAATAATTCAAAGTTTTAAAGTTTCTCTAAACGGTTAATGAGGCTAATAAAAAAAAAAAGGAGGAGAGGATCAAGAAGACTATTTTCCTTTGTTTGATAATATAATTTTTAAAGCTTAGAGAAAAAAGAAAAGATAAAAGTTATATCAGAACTATAGCCCCTCGGGAAGGCGGCCTGGTGTAGTGGACAGAGCAGAGTCTGCTAGCCCTGTCACAATGCTGCCTCCGGGGGTTACCACCTTGCGCAGTTACTGTTTACTTGTCAGAGTCTGTTGCCTGTTTCCGCCTCTGAAGGTTGGGATACTAACTAACTACCTTTGTTCTTTTTGATCTTCTGTTTTTTCTCCAGGCTAGCTTTTAGTTTTTAAGTCCTATTCATATCCACTGTTTCCTAATTCTGTATTATCACTAAAAAAAAAAAAAATGGAAAATGGAAAAGTAACAAAGCCAAAGTAGACAACAAAAGAAACATGAAAACAGAACCCTGCGACAGCTTTCTAAGATAATTATAACTGTTAGATTACTAGTGTCTTGAAGGAATGGACTTACAGTCACTTCTCCAGCAACCATAATTTTTCTTTATTTTTTTTTAAGTTATTTAATAGTACTTAATGATATGTAGAGTTTCTCTTTTGGTTAATGAAAGTTTTAGAACTAGATATTGGTACCGGTTGTACAGCATTGTGAATGTAATTAATGCCACCAAGTCGTACACTTACAAGTGGTTAATACGGCAATTTTATGTTATATATACTTTACCACAATTTTTAAAAATAGCAAAAAATTAAAATCAATCAGTCAGTCAGTCAAGCAAGCTAGCTAATAGTACAGTATTCCTCCTCCTGTTTATTTTAACCATATATCTGGTGCTGGAAGTTATCAAAAGCAAGGTCACAGCCATATTCAAATTTAGCTGTAATTCCAAGAGGTTAGTTACATTCTCTGATGCTGCTTTTTACGCCAGTAATCCAGTTGACCTTATGGGGAAAAGAATTGGTCTAGTTTTTCCTGTTTAGGTATAAACTGTGGAGAAGGGTCAAGAGTGCTCCCGTCGATCCTCCCTACCTGAAGGACGTTTTATGGCGAGGCATCACTGTGGAATTCACGTTGTACTACAATGAAACGGAATATTTCTTCCTCAGTCAGTTTTTCCCACTAGATAACACCAGTGGTGGAAACTGTGTATTTGCAATTTAAAGTTGTCTTTTCTGTGAAGTTACTTTTTAGAGGTGAGAGTCCTCTATCCTAAAACTTTATTGGTCTCTTAAGATGTGCTGTTGTAAGAACCCCGAAAGTTACATACGATTAACAAAACTAATTTACTTTCCTGTGATAATGTCAAACCAACTGTCTCTGGATACTTCCTTCTTCATCTTGAGAAATATATTTTAATAAAATCTGTCTAACTTTGTCAGGAGAAAGGTTTTTAAAACTTGTGGACTGAAATCACTAATGCTTACTATTTACTTAACACCTTAAGAACGAGGTTTGGGGCTAAGTAAAACGTTCAGGTAGTAGTGGGTTTGCTTGTAAATGAAAACTTTTTTTTTTTTTTTTAATGCAAATATTATTTCTTGCCTTCTTGAAGGATCTTCCTTGTGTCAGGTGCTGAGAACACAATGAAGTGTCAGATAAATTCCTGGCTTCTTTGAGTTCTGTGCTGCCACACTTCGCTAATCTTACTGGAATTGTTTTTCATGCTTCCATACTTTGTGAGTAGAGGATTCAGAACATAATCTCTTACTAACCAGGCATCCTCCTGAGTAGTGTTTTTCATGCCTTCAGGAACCACTGCTGCTCGTAGGCCCCTTTCCTCCACCTCGCTGTGCTGTCCCCGCGAGTCCTTCTCTGTCTGGCTCCCCAGTCTCTCATTTGCCCCATCAGCGACTCTGCCCCTCACAGATTTCCTTACTGCTTGTCGCTCCTTCTAGCACTGTGTCTGTGGTAGAAAGCAATGGTATGTTCTTTCCTTACCAACGTTTTCCCCCTTCTCTTCTCTCTCTGCCTTCATTTTCTTGCCATTTCTGCACTGATCAGCTCTGGCTCCCATGGAAGTATTTGTTATGTTTTTTTAAACAATTAGATTCATCACATAAAATGAAATAATTTACACAAAATCTCATAGAGAACTAAAAACATCTACACTGATTTAATTTAATGTAGAGACATGTGTAAATGAAAATGTTCTAGGTTTCATAAGCTTTTCTGAATCCAGAAATAATTTTGATCAATAAAACGACAGCTTCGTATCTGAAGCATTGCTGTTCTTTCTTATGTATAAAAGAGCACAACACACCATCATCAAAAGTTAATCTCCACTGTTTTAAAAGAGCGTCAAAAACATTGTGTTCATTTCCTCGATTTTCGAGAAACAAAGTTTTACGTGTGCAGTGTCAGCGAGTTAGGGAGACTTGCTCATTTATTCCCTCATTCAGTAATTTTTATGTGTTATTTTTCTGCGACTGCCACACGTTACAGGTGCAGTGATTTGGTGACAGAAGATTTGATTTTGAATGGTGAACACACAATGCAATATACTGATGATGTATTGTAGAATTGTACACTTGAAACCTCTCTAATTTTGTTAACCAATGTCACCCCAATAAATTTAATAAATTTTTTTTAAAATTAGATAAGGACACTGCATGTATACAACCTGCAGTCTAACAGGTGTTTGACACCAGGTGTTAGCTGTTTGCTGAATTTGAGTATCCCAGTTTTTGGAAAAAGATGAAATTTGATCACAGTACTCATAATATACTGGCATGATTATTTTAATATCAGAACCCAAGCCCCCCTTTACTGAGGAACCTGGTATTGCTAAAAAATCATTGACTTGCCGGGTTCTGGAACCTGGAAAGGTTGCATTGTCTCCTTTTTAAACTCTTCAGTTGTTCCAAGCATCAAAACCTGAGAGAAGAAATATGCTATACAAGTTCAAGGTAGCATTATGATCCAACCCCTTACTGCTAAGCAAAGTCCACTCAGCTTATGTGTAAGGGTAAATGAGTTGTTTTGTTTTCTAAATAAGTGACACTCCAATCAAATCTTGGGTAAATTTTACTAAAGTTAATCTGTCGTTTAACTTTGAAAATAATCATATAATTCAGAGATCCCCTTTGCGAGCAGATTTTAGCATCATGATATGCCATACGGAGACAAGCCATTCATTTTATTCATTAACATATACATATGTAATCTATTTGCAGAAATGTTGTATGTTCAGAAAACTATAGCAAATGTTTCACATTCAAGTAATTTTCATTTTTAGAAAAAATTCATAATGCAACAGCATAGAAAGTAGTCTCTTTACTACTGTTTGGGTCTTTAGAAAGCTTGTAATCTGAAAGAAAGCAAACTATGTTCCCTGCCTTCAGCCTAAATTGGCAACGTTTACTTAGATATCTTCAGGTCTACCTGTTTCACAGGAAACAAAGGGAGGACATAACCTAGAACTTTCTTATGGGGAGAAACATGACAACCCAAAATGCTGTGGATTCGTCTTCAAAGAGGCTATCTAATCCAAGTGACTTTTGCGGAGTCTCCATCGCCATCTCTTGGCTAGATCAATGGGATGAGGGAAGTTAGATGACATTAAGATGGGTGGCCAGGACTGAGCAGTGGTATTTTGCGGGATCACGTAGGCAGCTGTTCTGTGGATCTCAGACAAAGGAAGGCCTTAGAAACAGCAGTCTTGGCTGTTTCGCCCAGACTGGCTCTTTTTGGGGAAGCAGAAGTCCATTTTCCATGCAGCAGAGGAGGAGCAGAGTCCCCTAGTAACATAAGAAGCTTCGTGGGAAATCGGTGACCCAAGATTTACGAAGTGTCTGAAGAGCCCCCATAGGGAAATCCACAGATTATATTTTCTTTGTGCCAGATGGTCTCGTCTTTGCCTTTCTTTTTATCCTGCCCTGTAAGTTTTCTAGTTAATTAATACTTCTCTGGATTGTCATGTCTCTTGCACCCAGCTCCTTTTCTTTTCCATTTTAATTATTCTGTTGATTTACATCAACAGAACTTTTGCAACAGATACCCTTGTATCATCTCTCCCTCCAAACGGTCTTATATTAGCACTCTATAAACTTAGGGTCTCAAACTGATACCCAAAGGGGGTAGTCAGGTAATAGAAGTAAACAAACAGTACAGATGCAACCAAACACACCTGAGGGTCAAGGTCTAACACGAGGACTGTTACTTTAAACATCTGCTATAGAAGATTCCTTGCCTTGTCAAGTCTCTTCGTGTGACTCCTTTTGACTCCAGGATAAGGGCTGTGCTGCAGGGCTCAGTGTTCAGGGCAAGTGGAAGTCTGACACACTCCACCTTGCCAGCATCACCTCCTTGCTGGTCCTTTGTTCTCAGCCCTTACTGTAGTCAGACTGGCCTCCTCCCTGCCTCCCAGCTATATACCTTGCATATCTCACTTCTGATCTTTACCTTCTGTGTTACTCTGCTCTGGGGTG